AAAAGGAAAAGTTAATTTTAGAAAAGGTTTTGAAACGATATTATCTCTTCTGACAATTGAAAAATAATCTCAGTAATCTAGATATCTGTCAAATGTCTTTGGATGAAAAAGAGGGAAGAATGATTGGAATTATTCAACAGATAAATAAGTCGGTTAATCATCCCGAACGTAACTATTTATTCAGTCCTCTAATCTTTGACTTCGAACACTCTTTTCACCCTAATTTAAGAAAAAAACAGCTAAAAAGTAATTCTTTAATCTGTATTATGGAGGAAGAGAATTGTAATTAAAACTTTCCCCCTGACTTCGGCTAATTCTTTTTTTAATCACTGAGTATTTTTTTCCAATTTCACTAAAAAAACCACTCCAAATTTTTCTCAAAAAAAACTATATTAGACATCTCCATAGAGTTCTATATAGACATCTATAATATAGAAATTTACCTCTCACACCCACTAAACCAAGTCACTAAAATCAAAAATATAGCACTGTCCAAAGCCCGGTATCGGAAAAACTATTTGCCCAAATTCAGAAAAAATATTGAAGGCTCTCCTAACTAAAAATTAGCAACCTTCCAGCTCTCCCTTTCAAGGCAACTGAAACCAATATTAGTTTCTGAAATCTTAGCCTAGTAAAAGAAAACAAATTATTTAATTAAAAACAAGAAACAATATGAATTTCCAATCAATCAAAGAATCAAATTGAACTTATTTAGCAATTTTCATTGTGGTTGGTTATGTGGCGACTTACGGTTATGAAAATTGATTAGCCAAAAAAGATAATTAATTATGAGAAAACTAACCAAGGCTGCTCAGCCCAAGTTAACTAATCGGCACCACTTAGAGCAAGCTTATGACCTAGTCATTGCTGATTTATTCCATGCCCTGAAAAAGTTAAAAGATGGTGACAGCATTAAACTGGGTGATTTAGGAACTTTCCACAAAAAAGAACGAACCCTGCGTAGTTTTTTGCATAAGAAAACTTTTGTCTACTATCAGATCAGTTTCCAAGCCTCGGCTCTCCTGAAAAAAGAATTAGATAAATAAGATGGACAAGCAACAAATAGCACTATTGGTAATAGCCGTTGTTTGTGTAGGAGTATGTGTTTACCGGTATTATGGAAATCGCTTTGACAAAGATAATAATTATCTAAAGGCTTTGCCCTCCATTGCTGGTGGACTATATGCCTTAAACTTTGTTTTTAGTTTAGCAACCCAATAATATTATGAACAATTTTCAAAATCAGAACTGCAATAATCAGCCCAATAATCAGAATAATCAACAGACCAATTTTCAAGAACAGTCTAACGCCCAAACTCAGCAACCGCCTTCAATAATGATGAAATTAATGACTTCTTGTTTACCGGTATTACTCGAACAGTTTACTGGTCAAACCATGCCTCCGATGGGTGGTAATAATGCCGAAATGCAATTAGCTTTATCACAAGTTATTAGTTTACAACAGCAAATTATTACTGGTCAACAGAATTTAGACCAAAGATTAGCTCAGTTAGAAACCAATGCTTCCCAGCAATTCACTGGTTTAGCCCAAGAAGTTAAAAGCATTAAGTCGATTAGGCTAACTCATGACCGCGAAAGAAAGCAAATTGAATTTAATGGTAATGGGAATTTCCAGCAAAATCAAGAAACCTAATCATGAACTGACTATCACCTGCCCTCACTCCCTTAACTAACGAAGTTAAGCAATTAAATCAAAATCAAGCCCAAATCATCGCCCTGTTACAGGAACAAAATCAATTACTAAAAGAAATATTACAAGCTAAAAAATAATATGGCAAGAGAAATCCAAGCAAACGAAAATCACGAACAATTTTATACTACTGGTAAGCAGAGTGATATCCTTTATCGTAGCCACTTAGAATATACTGGCAACAAGATATTTTGAGCTTCTGCTCTCGGTTTAGGAGCCATCACTATCTATGCTTCCCTAGTTTATTTAGTAGTCCAACAATTACGCAAATAAAACAAATAGAAATTTAAAAATATGACAAGACCTAATAATAACGAAGAAAATCAAAACACTTTAATGTCCTGAGCTACTGGCAAAGTAGCCATTTATGCCATTGGCATAGCCGCTGGCATCTTTATCTGAAAAAGTGGTATGCTCCAAAAAGTAACCAGCAAAGTATTCAGCAAAAAAGAGGAGTAATTATCACTCCTTTACTACCCCATTTTAAGCCCTTATGAACCAAAACAATCTCAAAGACCTCGTCATCAACACTTTCCAAGAAATCTTAGCCGAAGACCCTAATTTTTTCTTGACCGACCGGTTAAGCATTTTATCCTGAAAAAGCAAGAAAATTGAGGGAGCCTTAATTACCAAAATTGGTAACGTTAGATACTTGGGTTTGCTGAGAAAAGACAGTCAAGGGCAAGAGTATTGAAAATACAAACCGCTAACTGGAAATTCTAATCCTGAGCAAGCAGGGAAGGAAAATTCAGTAATACCGGATAATCTGGCTAAATTTCAGCAACGAAAAATAAAGACTCAACAAATTAATCATGGTGAATCAAATAACTCCAACGAGCAATCTCACTAATACTGTCCAACAATTAAGCATTGCTTTACAAGCTATTCAGCCCTCCGATAATCAGACTACCCGGCTAATCGCTTACACCTTAGTAGCCACGGCCGTAGTGGGAATATTTGTTTATCACTATATTAAAAACCAAGAATCCAATTAAAAAGTTATGGGAATAAAAGATTACCTACCTGATTTTAAGGGCGCTCTCAACTCTTTTTATGATGAGAAATTAAAAGACACTATTGAAAATAAGAGTGCCGAATACAAAAAACTCTTAAAAGAGAATTTTGCTTACGGTCAGAATACTCAAAAAGCCCTAACTACGATTGCCCTAAGTATTTTTTTACTACTGGCTATTGCCCATTTTTGACAGGGTAATTCTAAATACTTAGCTTTGGGGGTTCTCACTGGTTATTTAGTCCCTTACATTTACGAACTATCCCAGACCCTGCCCTCTGTCTCAAAACAACAAAATAACTAACTTTATGTCCAAAAAATATCTAATCTGATTCTCCATCTGCTTCATTGCTGGTCTCTATGTTCGTCATTGAGCTAACACGGGACAAGGACAATTTAGAAGACTAAACGAGATTTTTAAATAATTATGTCCGCACCTACTCTACTTATCTGTTCGGCTTTGGCTGCTTTTTGTGGCTTTTTAGCCCATCAATCAGCAGAAACCTTAATCAACACCCTTTTAACCTTTTTGCCTTTAAATATCCGCACTGTTCGCTAATTAGCCTCGTAGGAGAAATTTAAAAACTTATGCTAATAAAAAGTAACAAGAAAACCAAATTAAAAAATCAAGTAATTGTGGTTCCCACCACGCAAAAGACAACCCCAAAAACTAAATCCACCAAATCCCTCCCAGTTCGTTCCCAAACTTCTAAACCTAACACTCTCGCCTATTATAATTGCCTGATTGACCAAATCGCTAATCCGGCCAATGCCAAAGTCAAGATTACCCAATTAGCTCATCACTGTAAATGTAATAAAGGAAAGGTTGCCGCAGCACAAAAATAACATAAAAAGCAATTAGTTCAACAACTAGCCAAAAATTATAAAGCTTTTGGTCAGAGCTTAGGGCATTATTTACAAGCTGATATTGTGGGTTGTGCTAAGGAATTGAAGAAATAGTATGACCGACTGCTGTGAATTATTAAAAACAGCTCTGTATGTGATTGCCGGAGCCTTTTTTGTAATCTTAGCCCTCTTAGCCATGTTTTTTGGTTATAATCTCAAACTTAGTGACCGCACGGCTAAACTAGAAAAGAAAAATGGCCATGAATTAGATCGCATTGCTCAGTTAGAAACTAAGAACGGTCAAGGGCAAAAGCAAATCGATGAATTAAAAAAGGAATTAGCCCACTTAAAAAATCATGGCAACTTGCCTCCTTTGTCAGAAAAGAAAACCATTACCTAATTCTAATCTCTGCTTTATTTGTTCCCTAACTAATTTACCAAAATAATATGACAAAAACCCTAATAATTATTGCTATTTTAGTATTACTCTATCTCTGCTGAAAACACCAGCAAAATAAAATTCTTCCTCATAATCCCGATGACATCATTGAACGTAAAGGTAAACAAAAAGAAGTTTTCTGAGATGCCAAAGACTTTGACTTAAACTCAGACGACTCTGACAACGAAAGCACTAACTCTAATGACTAAGGAACAATTGCAAAAAGAACTAAAAGAGAAAATAAAACCAGGCATCAAAGCCAGTGATTTAAAAAAACTCAAAAGAAGCAAAAGTGCTGATGATATTTCGACTTCACCTACTTCTAATATCCCCCTCAAAAAATCTCACTCCCATCTAGAAATCCCTTTACCTACTCAGCCTAGTCTCAGCCAACAAGTAAAACAATTAAAACAAAACTTACTTTTTACTCAGAATACGGCTGATAATTATTTACAGAGTTTACAAGTAGCTCAAGCCAAAATTCTCCAATTACGTTTCGATAAAATTAAAGAATTTGGCGATTATTACCAAAAAAAACAAGATTTAGAAACGGAATTAGAAGAAAATATTAATGAAGGAATTAGTGAAATTCAGAGATTAGAAAACAAATTACTGGTTACTAATAAGAAAAAGCTAGAATTAGCCCACAAACTCAGTCAAGTTCAAGGCAAAAATGCCCAATTAGAATTACAAATGATTAACAATCACGAACCCAGCACTTTCAACTATTGACCGATTATTACGGTTCTAGCTCTCAGTTGCTTATCGGTCTGGCTTTTCAGCCAAAACACAAAAGAATAAAACATTATGGTCGACTTAGGAATTAAATCAGCCGTCCAGGACTGAATGAAAGAAAAATACAAAGACTGAATTAAACAGCCGATTGAAAAGAAAACCAAAGAATTGGAAAACTTGGTGGCTCAACAAGTTAATACTTACGGACAAAAAGCCAAACAAACAGCGGCTAAGCCAGCCGATTATTATCACCAGCAACCAGCTTTTTATCGCGGATTATTCTGAATTGCTGTGGGCTGCTTAATTGTCTTGTGAATTATAAGCGGAAGTTAGAAATATAAAATCATGGAAAACCAAGAAATTATTATCATTGCCTTAGTAATCATAGCCATTTATCTTTATTGCTGTTATTACGGTCATCTAAAATCTGACATAAGTTATTTAACTCAATACAATAATACACTTGATGAATTATCCGAATTAAAATCCCAATTAGAGCATTGCCAAACTCTTTACCAAAAAAGAGTAGCCAAGGATTTAGATGCTGAAACCTTGAATTCCAGTTGAGAAATACGATATAATGATTTAGAAAACTTAAATAATCAAACTAACCAAGAAAAAGAGAAACTAGCCGATTATCAACCCTTATTAGAACAAAAAATTACTGATTTAGAAACTGCTCTCTTAAATCTAGCCCAGCAAAAACTCAAAGATAAAAAAGAAGCTCAGGAATTACTAAACCAGTTAGAAGCCAACTGACAAACTGATAAAGATAATTGAGAAAAGCAGCACAATCAGTTCCAACAAAGCGATAATCTTGCTCAACAAGAAATCAAGAACCTGAACCAGCAACTAAACCAAGTCCAACAAAAAGAAACCGAACTAAATAAATTACTGACCCAAACTAATCAGCAATTAATTAACACCGAAAATAATTTAACTGAAATCCAAACTAAACTTACTGACAGCCAAAAAACTAATCAAAATCAACAAAACCTTCTCAACAAATTACAACAGAATAAAGAAACTCTTAGCCAACAACTCACTCAGTTAAATCAGCAAGCTAAACAAGACATTCAAACTATTACTCGGCAGCAACAAGATTACCAGAGACTTCACGAGCAAAACCAAGCCCTGACCCAGGAACTGCAAGCCAAAAATAACTGAGGAGATAATAATATCCCCCAACTTAAACAAGAACTTTTTGACCAAGCCCAAGCCACCTTTACCGAATTACAAGAAACCGTTAACCAAGCCTATTTCATAAAAGGTAAAAGTGATGTTAAACAAAAACTGGAAGAATTAGATAGTTTTTTTGAGCAAGATTTAGAAGTAATAGAAAAAGATAAACAAGAACTAACCAAACAATTACAAGGCCAATCCCAAGTCTTTAATGAACAATTAAGGAAAATAAATGTTCTTTTTGATAAAAATGCTGAAAATTATCAAACTATTGACTTTAATGGTCTCTATTCTCTGCTGGCAAATATTCAACAAGAACGAGAACAGAAGAAGCAAAATAAAGAAACCGGCACCCAAACTGCTGACCCAGAAGAAAAAGAATTAGAAAACACCGTGGATAATCTCCTTAAAGAAATCAAAGAATTACAGAAATTATGTTAAAAAATAAATTACAAGAATTATTAAAAGGGTTCACTGAACTGAAAAATAAAATCACTACTAAACTGACAGCCCAATCGCAAACCATTACCGAAACCAATCATAAATTAGAACTAACTTTAAAAGAGAATACTGAAAACGAGAAAGTTTTAGAGCAATTGCTGAAAGAATTTAAGGAGTTAGGGGAACAGTTCGGATAAAAACCTCATGCGACGAGAACAAATAATCACTGAATGGAATAACCTGCAAGCCAAATTAAATGGTGTTAAATATCTCCACCAACAGAAAGCCCTAATTAAAGACGCAATTGAATTCCATCTGCAACAAGCTTCTTACTTTACCACCGAACACTCCAATGAACCCTTATTAAACCGCAGACTAATGGAGCAAGAAAAAGAACGATTGACTGATGAGTTGGAGAAATTGATTCAGCAACCGACTGAATTAAGAGCTCGCGATCCCGACTATTTTGAATCCGAAAAAGAGAAGATTAGAAAAGAATTGACTAAGCTAGAAGTTGCCCTGACCGAAAGCTCAACTGCCCAAACTGCTTTTAATCGTCAAAAGGTGAAGTATGAGCAAATAGTAAAAGATTGTCGAGAGTTATTGGCTAAGTTGTAGGAATGAATTAATTGTCATCATGGATAGTAAAAAAAACAAAAAGATAATGGCCGTATGGGAAGAGTTGAAAACCAAGAAAAAGATTATATTCACCAACTGAGTATGAACGACTTTTTAAACCTTTGTCAATTAGGTAAGAGTAAAGAGCATGAAGAACAATTACGAGTTAGATTGACTGAATTTACTAGATTAGAAAGCAAGTTAGAACAAGTTAGGAACCTAATTGCTGATAATGAAATTGAAAAGTTGAAGAAGTTATTGAGAAAAGAAAAGATTTAAGAAGAAATTAGCCCTCCAATGGAGTTTTTTATCCTTTTTACTCCTTAAAAAATAAAGTAAAAAAATTAATTAAATAATGATTAAGTCCTTTAAAGATAAACATACTCAAATGCTTTTTGAAAGAAAAAGAGTGTTAAAGTGAAAACATATTGAGCAGATTGCTCGACGGAAATTAAAAGACCTTGATAAAGCCATTAGTTTAGAAGAATTAGCCCAAGTTCCCAGCAATCGTTTACACAAACTTACTCGTGACCGAAAAGGACAGCATAGTTTAACCATTAAAAACCAATATCGGATTTGTTTTTACTGAATGAGAGGAAATGCTTACGAAGTAGAAATTGTCGATTATCATTAAAATTAAGTTATTATGAAGAGTAAAAAATTACCACCTATTCATCCCGGAGAAATGTTAAGAGAAGAATTTTTGGTTCCCTTGAATATGAAACCAGAGGAATTAGCCAAAAAAATCAGTGTTCCAGCCAAAACAATAAAAGATATTTGTCAAGAAAAAAAAGACTTAACTCCGGAAATAATTTGCCGACTAGCTATTTACTTCAAAATGTCTTATGAATTTTGACTAGGTATGCAACAAGATTACGAACGAGAATGTTTAGAGGATATTTTAGAAAGTCAAGAAAAACAAATCAAAAAAGAAATCCATCCTTTACCTAATTTTCAATCAAAAACTAATGGTCGTCTCAGAAAACAACTCTAAAACGCTCCTCTTTTACTAATTATTAGTAAAATATATTAATCAGCCCTTATCTTAACCCTGTTATAGGAAAAACCTAAACAAAATATTATGAAAATACTTTGAATATTAATAATTATCGCAATTGCTTACTGATTTTATCAGAAGAAATTAACTAATAATTAACCTTGCTCTTTTTCAGCCTTCACTTTGGCTAAATAACTCAAACTCTCCAATCTATTTTCTAACTGTTTTTTTTTTTTTTTTTTTGCTAGATTGATGTCTTGTCCCAATTTTTTAAGTTCTTTGCCTTCTTTGGAATTATTAAAACTAATAACCATGATTGTAAAAAAAACAACTCAAAGAACAAGACAAATCATTGATCCTGTTTCTTCTGCCAAGTAATAACCGAGAAAAAGCGAAGGTATAACCAATCAACCTAAATAAGTTCATCATTTAGGCTTATTCAATTGCTCTTGTTCTCTTTCTTTCCATTGTATTTCTGCCCTAATCTTTAACAAATCCAATTCCAATTTTTCCCTTTCATTGCTAATTTCCCCATTTACCATATTTAATATTTTTATATAAAACAACCTAACAAAATCTAATCCAAAAAAAATTATGACTAACAACAACAACGAAGACAATATTCACTGAGAAGAATCCACAACTAACCGAGACAAATTAAAAGAGCAAAATGAAGAAGGAAAAGGACTGGGCAAATCCGCAATCAGAGCCTCAATCAAAGGGCTTAATTTCGCAGTAAAGGCTTATAACCTAGTTGTGGCAAATGCTGTAAAATATAGTACTCTTGGTGCAGCAGACATCAAATTAAAAGAAATCAATGAAAATCAAACATTAGATGAGATTATGAAAAGTGGTGGAACTTCGGTAGCACTTGGTCTGATTGATGATGCTGTTAAAGGAGTTAGGAGAGTAGGACTTCCAGCTATCAACGCCATTCAGGTTTTTGGTGTTGGTGGGCCTCAAGCAGTTGCTGCGGCTAGCAAGGTTTTGTCTACTGTTGAATTTGCTATTGACCATTTAAAAGATATGCTTACGAGTAGTGCTATTTCTGGACTTGCTGCCGAAGTCGGAGACCTCAAAGATGGTCAAGCCAAATTAAACAGTAAAGTTGACGCCCAAGGAAAATTAATGAATAAAAGAATGGGCGACTTAAAATCAGAACTCCAAGGAGAATTAAAACAACAAGGAGAAAAATTTGACAAGGAAATTAAAGACCTTGACAAAAAACTGGAAACTGCCACCGGAGAAAACCGCAAAAGAATTGAGGAAGAAAAAAAACAAAGGCAAGCCCAGTATCAAGAATTAAAAAGTTCGATTAATGAAGTCACGGAAAACTTAAATCGAGTTGAATCCAAACTAACCGAAGCCCTTCAAGACTTCAAATCCGAAGTCAATGAACGCTTCGAACAGCAAGAAAGGAAAATCTTAGCTAACAAACAACGAATAGAGGAAGAACGTCGTAAAAGAGAAGCGGAAATCCAAGAAATAAACAGTAAAATAAAAGTCACTAGCACCAACTTAGAAAATTTACGGCAAGAAAAAGAAGAACTATCCGACAACTTCGATAAATATAAATCTCAAATCGACCAAAAGACGGCTGAAACCCAGCAAGTCCTCGAAGACACTCAGGCTGAATACGAACGCAAAACCGCTATCTTAGAAACTCAAATCAAAGATAATGAAGAAATAATTAATGAATTTCAAGAAGACTTAACCACTGTTCGCAACGAACAAGCCAAGCAAAGACTGCAACAAGAAGAAATTTTGGAAGAATTACAAGAAACTAATGATATCTTATTCGCTCAGCAACGCAAATTAAACTTAGTCGCTGACCAAATGAATGATATTCAAGAAGAAGTTCACGAACGGATGGATAAACTTTCCGAGAAACTGGACACTCGAATTAATGAAACTCTGAATGTCGTTCAAGACACTAATAAAAAACTTGACAAACTAACTGATGAGGTTCAAAATATCCGCGAAGAAACAGAAAAATTACAAGAGCAAATCAAACAAAATAAATTAGAAACGGAAAAAGCCAAACAAGAGGCTAAATTGGCTAATGAACGACTAGATAACTTAATTAAGGCTCAATCTCTTAGTGATTATTCCGCCCAAGAATCAAAAATAGATAAAATCCAAAAGTCCTTAGAATTAAAAGCCGAAGAGGCTAAACTCTTAGCAACTTTAAATCTCTTACAAGAAACTAAAAAACTAATCCCCAAAGAGCCCGCCGAAAGAGAGTGAAAAGTCGGCATTGAAAAAGGAACTGCCCCCAAAGACTTCCCAAAACCCGAAGGTTTTACCTTAACTCTCAATAATTACTGAGAAAGAAAATATACTGGTGACCAAGTAAAAGAAGCTAATCCCCATTCCCTTTTTACCCAAGAGTGATTTAATTGAGAAGAAGCTAATAAACTCCCACCTGAACAGACTAAGTTTGAACCCTGAGGAGAAAGAGTAAAAGGAGAACACGAACAGGCTCCTCTCACCGACCCTGAAAAAAGAAAAGAACAACAAGTCGACCAAACTAAACGAGAAGAAAGCAAAGCCGCGGGGGAAGAAACAAAGCAGGCTGAGGTTTTAGAAGAATTAGAAAATTTAAAGACTGAAACTTTACAGCAATTAGCCACTATTCAACAACAAATTAGTCAGCAATTAGACCAAGCCGAAGAAGAACCAATTATTACTAAAACTAAACCTTTGGCTAAATATGACCCACAAATTAAGAAATCTCAGCAAAAGGTTCAGAAATTACAGAAGACATTAGCCAATAAAAAAGCAACAACTCAACAATCAGTTCAAAAAGCATTAAATAATCCTACTCCGCAGAATAAAAAAGAAGTTCAACAATCGCAACAAGAAGAGAAGAAAATTGAGAAAGAATTAGGGCAAGCCCAAACCGAACTAGAAAACTTAGAAAAAAGCCAAGTCTTCGAACAGGATTTAGAAAAACAGGAAGAAGAAATCAGAGAAGCCGAAAAAGAGGAAATAGAACAAACCTGAACTACTATTCAAGCACTCCAAGAGAAAAAGGATTTAGAAAAGCCCGAAGAAACCAAGGAAGAAGATTTAAATAAAAAACTGGAAGAACTGGTTCAACAATTGCAAGAAATGGAACAAGCGGCAGCAGCCGCTAGTCAAAAAACCATGACTATGTTCATGTTGTTCCTGATTATTTTCTTATTAGAGTATGTGGTTTATAAAAGGAATGGTTTACCGGGCTTAGTTATTCTCAATGTCATCTTAGCAGTGTGCTACTATCACCGAGAAACTTTAAAAGAATATTCGGAACTCTGAGGTAAATATTTACTGATAATTGGCTATATCATGGGCAATGTTCTCGCTTACTCAGCACCCGAACAAGAAAAATACAAATGACCAAGTGTAATTGGCTATAATTTAGCCATCTTAGGAATTTATGGCTATACTCTCTGGCAAAAGAGCCAAGCCCAAGCCAAAATAGAAACTCATTATCAGCACAAGTCTCAGGAAATTTGTCAGGAAAATAATGTCAAGCAAGAAGAATGAGCAAATATTCAGCAAAACACTCAATCCCCATCAGGAATTGGTGGAATAGTAGATGAGTATAGTGTCTTTTCTGGCTATGGTAATGAAATCAGAACCGAACAACTATCTAATTTAAAAACAGTTATCCAGCAAAAAGAAGAAGCTCAACACCAAGAAGAATACTTAAAAAAACAAGCGGAAACTCTGAAACAAGCCGCCGAAATAGAAAAGAAATTAACCGAGGCTCGGAATAATTTAGGAAACTCCCACATGTCCTGACAAAAAATTCACGAGCAATACCCAACTTTTAAAGACCAGTCAATACTTTTAAAAGAGTTTGAGAAGGCTGACCGAATATTAACTCAGGAAGAGAAAAAAGCCAGTCAAAGTTTAGACACTAAATTAGGTAAATTGCCAGCCCCAACCAAAGAAGAAATAAACTTACTAAGCCAATTATCTTTGACTTCTGAACAATTTGCTCTGTTGGCTAGTCAAGCTCAATATTTAACTCACCAGGAAAAAGAGGAAATATTAGAGAATTTCCCAAGTTTCAGCCAAGACACAAAAGTACAGTTAATTAATTCTGGTTTAAATAACTTAGAAATCAATGCTCAGGAAAAGAAAGCCAAATTTATCCAACTAAATCAAACTCTTTACCAAGAAAAACAATCCTTCGGTCTTTCTATTCCCGAAAAAGAAAATATTCTCCGTTTACTAATTACTAGTTTAGATTTAAGTACTGAACAAAGAACTTCCTTAGAAAACATGGGCATTAGATTTTTTGATGCTTCGAATTGGGAAGTCAGTAACGAACAAAAAAATAGTTTATTAGGTTTTGGCTGTGCGAAGATTAAATTAACCGAGGAACAACAGGAAAATTTATTGAATACTGACCAATTGCGAAACTTTTCTTTAACTGAACCGCAAAAGGATATTCTGCAAAGTCTAGCCCCGTTAACTCGGGAAGATAAATATTCCCCAGAAAGTTTACAATTACTTCGTTCTTTGAACTTAAAACCAACTACTTTGAATTTTTTAACTAATGAAGAAATCTTGCCTAATCCCAACTTAGACTTTGGCGAAACTAAATCATCTTATTTACCTTTAAAAACTAAATTCTTGGAGGGAGAGCAGAAAGTTTTAGAGCAAAAGCAACGGCAAGAGGAAAAAAAACTAAATCAGCAAGAAATAACCGACAAAAAATGAGAAACTTTAAATTCTTTAACTAATTGATACCAAGAACAAGATGAAGAAGAATTTAACCTTACTTTATCTGATTTTGTCAAAATAGGGGCTATCAAAGAATGACAAAAAGATATTCTGCTTACTTTGGGCTTAAAAACTATTCCTAAATATAACTTTTTTGAATTATTAATCTTTGCGGTAGAAAAATTTACTAATAATCCTTTTACTGACTGGCTGAGTGATGAAGAAAATGAGTGAATAGAAGAATATTATCAAAACTGGTTAGAAAAAAGAGAAAGCCAACCAATTATTATTAATAAAACTATTTGAGAAAGATTTGTTTCTTCACAATCTTCTCAACAAAAAGAAATCCTGAACAAATTAAACTTAGAAGAATTAATTAACCAGCAAATCAACAAGCGTTTAAGTAGTTATCAGTTTTCTCACGAAGAAGAGCAGTTTTTTGATAGCATCGAAGAATTAGGGGAAACGAAAGAGAATAAACCAAATTCCTCTACTTCCCGTTATGACAACTTATTTGCCAATCTCAGCCAAGAAGAAGCGGAAAGACAACGCAAAAAGTTAGAAAGGGAAGCAGCTCGTAAAAAACTAGAAGACCAAGAACGGCAAAGACGAGAAGCCAAATTGTCGGAAAAGGATAGAAAATTAAAAGAAGATGAAGAACGAAGACAAAAAGAAAAAGAACTCCAAGAACAGGAAGCCGAAAAAAAACGACAAGCTGACGAAGCCCGTGCCAAAGCTCTCCAAGAAGAAACTGAATCTTACTTAAAAACTAAATTAGAAAACATTGAGAATAGAAAAAAAGCTGCCGAACAAGCCCTCGCCAATCAAAAGAAAGAAAATGAGTTAGAAGAGCAGAAAAAGAAAGACCAAATTGCTAAAATGGAAAAGGAAAATCAGGAAGAGCAAGCCCGGTTAGCCAAGCAGTCCCAATTAATCGAAGAAGAGATGCAAAAGAAATTAGCCCAAATTGCCTTAGAGGATGAAGAAGAACGACAACTAATAACTAAACGAGCCAATGAGGAAAAAGCGAAAATCGAAACCGAGATGTTAGAAAAGCAAAGGAAAAACCAAGAGGAATTAAAAAAGAAAGAGAATGAGTTATTTAAGCAACGCGAAGAACGACAAAGAAAAATCGAGAAAATGGAAGAAGAGGCGCGAATTATGTCCGCAGATGCCCGAGCTACCGAGGAACTATTAAGGCAAGAAAAAGCCAAACAAGCTGACTTGCATTCATCTATGCAAGCAGCTCACCAAACTCGAATGAAAAAAGGAACAATGGATGAAGCAGCCCAGGATAATCAACAGAGAGCCCTCAGGAGTGTTTTAAATTATTATGTGAATGATGATGAGTTTCAACAAAGCTTCCAAGGTGGCTCCTATTTTGAAAATGATGGCCGGTATTTACCCCAAGTCAGTGAAATATTTAGTAGATATCCCTCCATTCGGGTTAATATCAGTAAGTTTTTTACCAATAGTGGAAAAAATAAATTGCTCGGTAGTAGTCCTTGAACTTATTATTTAGATAGCGAATTACAAAAAACTTGTTCAGCAGTAGGAAGTGGCTGATATACTAAATCTCAATTAGAAGAAATAATTAAAAGTGTAATTGGGGAAACATTTTAAACTTCCTACTCAATTAGTTTCGGTTCTCGCCAAATTAACGGTAAGATTAAATAGCGAAATAACAACCAAAAGACAATATAAAAGAGGATTCAGGAAAGAATCAAGAATATTCCAGTAAGTCCATAAACATGGTAAGCATATTGGTGATAATCAACTTTTTTGGCTTCTGCTTCCGATAAACCAATTCCACTCAGTCAAGCCGCAATATCTCCCAAGATATCGCCACCTCACTTTTTGCCTTCCTTTTCTCATTCTCTTTTTTTAATTTCCCCTTTGGTGAAATAGTCTTCTTTTTTACCTCACTTCTTAACTCACACATTCTCCTTAACTTTTTTGTATCACCCAGTATAATCCTTTGGTAATTTACTTTGATTTTCAGTTTTTAAATCATCCTCGTTGGTTCCTCAACTATAAGAAAATATTTTTTTAGTTTCGGTCAAGCCTACTTTACAGAGTAGATTACCAGCAATATAAGCTGATAATAAGGCCATTAGGAAAGCCCAAATTTTAATTCAAAATATTCTTTGGGATTTTTTATATGTTCACCCTTCGTATTTGGCTAATGTTTCTAATTCTGACATAGTTTTATTTAATTCGTTTTCTTTCTTTTTTCAGAAGTAGCAAGAATAAGAAACTTCATTTAATTATTACAAAAGTCTTCCAAGTCTTTTTTTAAGTCAGGAAGTTCAACTTTGTCATCAGAAAAAAATTGCTGAAATCTAGGAACTTCTGTTTCTACAAATCACTTTTCTTTCCCTTTTTTTAGGCAGTCGGCTAGCCAAGTTTCAAACCAATTCACTGTCTTCTTTTTTTCTTTTATTTTATTTCTACTAGTTTCTGCTTCTGTAATCGCAGTTTCAATTTTTAGTCTTTGAATTTCTATATCCATTGACTTGATATTATATTCCCTATCGTTTTGGTCTAAATTTTTCTTTTTTTCTTCTAATTGAGCTATTTCTTCCTCTTTCTTTTTTTTAACTTTTTCAACCGACTTAATTATTTCTTCACAAGACTTCAATAATTGCCTAATTTCTTCGGCTTGGTCTTGAAGTTGCTTAATTTGGGGATTACTAGAAGGAGGATTAACAGGAGCATCAGGATTTTGCGGAGGAGTTTCCGGATTAGGAACCGAACCACCCTTAAAGGCAAACTCATACAAAAGGATTTTCCAGTTATAATTCTCGGTTGAATTACCAGTTTTCTGAGGTCGGTATTTCTCATGGTTATTAATAGTTAATTGCTTGCCTAAATCATTCTGAATTTCACTGTAAACATAACCTTGGAAGAATTTACTTAAAAAAGTTTCCATTAAAGCATTTAAGTCTTGAACTTGGAAAAGACTGGAAAATTGGGAATTCAGAGAAGATAAGAGGTTATTAATTTCTTCGGATATTCTGCGACCTAATTCTTGATAATTGGTTTGGGTAGCAAAAGACGGTTTGTATTTATACTGGGCTTGTAAAGGTTTGAGAACCGTAATAATATAAGTGTTATAGTCTAAGCCTTTTCAATCAATACTCCCGTCACTTTCCCGGGGGATAATCGAGGCAATAAAAAGCATGGATTTATAAGTAAAGTTTTTTTGGGATTCTTCGTTAAATTTATCGACGGACGGAACCGAAGAAAAAGGAGGAAAGCCTGACTTATTATTTACCAAATTTATCTTTTCATCTAATTCAGCCAAAGAATTAATTTCTCATCATTTGATATGGGGGACATAAGCCGTCAAGAATTCAATAGTGGCTTGTTGGTTATCTATGCCTTTTTCTTGCTGAATTTGGTTGATTTTAGTTTGGGCTTGGGCTTCACTGGGTAAGTATTGGATATTACCCGGTAAAGGATTATCGGGATTTTGACTGGGTTGATTAGTTGAATTATTGCTTTTGGTAAAGAAATAAATGCCGAAGATTAGTCCAATTATGAGAACTATTCCAACTATTATTCAGACTAAACTATCTGTTTTTTTTTTTTTTTTGCTGGTTCATACATTATTTAGGGGGTTGTTCGATTTGGGCTTCTTGAATTGTTTCCTCTTGCTCATTATCTTTTTCTTCCAAGTATTTATCTAAATCGATTGTCTGGTGTTCTTCAAATTGTTGAAATTCTTCTTTAATTTCATCTTCATCCTCTGGTTGAATATCATCTTTTACTTCTTCCTTAGAGTCAATAAATTCTTCTTCTTGATTTCCTCTCTTGTCTCACTGTTCTCAGTATCAGTAAGGAGAGGTTAAGAGGTTTTTGGCTTTAAAAGCACAATATTTAGCACAATTATAAGTTGTCGTTCAACCTTGACTAATCTTGTTAATCAGGTTTATATTTTTGAGGCTTTTAACTTGGTTTTCGAGAAGTAAAAAGTTAGTTCTAGTTAATTTTTCCTGGATATGGTTTATTTCTTTCTCAGTCTCAGATAAATCTTTTTCTAATTTATTTATCTCTTTGTCTAATAATTCTAATTCTTCATCAGTTAATTGTTTTCGTTCTTTAAATAAGAGTAAATTGCTTTTATTTTCGGCTAATTCTTTTTTAATTTGCTGGTAATTATTTTCTTTCTTCTTCAATTGAATTTCTCAGTCATTTTTTTCTCTTTCTAATTTTTCATAATCCTCTTTTATTTTCTTTATTTTTTCTTGGAGTTCTAATATTCCTTGTGGTTTATTTTCTAACTTTAGTTGTTTCATTTCTTCTTTTTTTTCCTTATTTGTTCCATAAGAGAGTTTGCGATAATCAATTATGGCTTTTTCTAAATCTTTGATAGCCTTGACAATTTTTCATACTTTGCTCTCTCCTTCACCTTTGTTTAGGTCTTGGGTTAGTTTGTTTCGCTCGCTTATTAACTCTTCCAAGCTAATTTCTTCATTTTCATCTTCATCATATATTTTTAAAAACTCCTTAGTTTTTTCAATTAACTCCTTTGTTACTTGACTTACTTCACCCCCTAACAATTCCTTAATTTCAATGGGAGCTAGTATTCCTAATAATTCATTATAGTTATCTAAAAAAGTATCAGCATCTACTAAAAAGTCATTTCATTTCTTTTCCTTGGCTTCGTAAATCCTTTCTTTTATTTGGGAAGCACTTACTTCTATTACTGGCGAAGTCGCAGCTAGTATACCTCCTAATAATGGGTCAGTTGTGGCGGCTATAACACCACCGGCAACAGCGGTAGCCCGAGCAAATCATTGTCTTCCTTCTCCAATATACCAATAGGTGTTGATTTCTTGCGGATTTCGTAGTTGACTTAGTTCACTTAATTTATTGTCTTCTTTTATTCCTCATTTGCTGACAAAATGTTTGATATTGCCTCGCACGACAAATAGTCTTTCTAAGGTGATAATATTAGAAATCATGTTGTTTTGTTTATCTTCTCTTCATTTGGCAGGGCTGTAATATTTAGCCTTATCATCTTTATTATATTTTGAACAATTACTTTTATCTAGTTCTTTCGTAAGTTCAATAGATTTATCTTGATAATCACCAACTTTCTGGTAAGCATTCTAAACCTTCACTGAGGTTGGTGTTAGAAATTTTTAATTCTTGTAGTTCATTTAGGTCTTTTAAAAGTTTTAAACTTCCTACCACAGGGCAATTACTGATATCTAATTGTCATAATTTATTAACCGATTGGAGAAAGTCTAAATTAGGGAATTCATTATTATTACAGATGAGTGTTTCTAGATTTTTACAATCTCTCAAATCAAGGTCAGTTATTTGGTTATCAGAACAATTCAATCTACTTAAATTAGTAAATCCTTTTAGTCATAATGCTCCTTTTAATTCCTGATTACTAATATTTAACTCTCATATCTCTGCTCTTTTTTCACCTTTATTATCTTCATCAATCTCTCCTAAACATTTTCCATCTTCAGGATATTCTTTATCTAATCATTCTCGGGCGGGACTATTAAAAAACTTTTTTCATTCTTTATATTTACCTCTAAAAGACTTTAATTCTCCTCAATCAATGACTTGGTCTTTGAAATATTCAAAACCATGGTTGGAAATATCTAATCGTCTTAATTTAGTTAAATTTTGTGAAAATTCTAGCGAACCACAAAAGCGATTATAAATACCTTTCTCAATTCGTTCTTTAATATCATTTCCTAAATAAAGCTCTTCTAAATTAGTGAACCTGCTAAATATACTTAAATTTTGCTTTTTTAGATTATTATTACTGATACTGACATAAACTAGTTTCTTAGGATTAAATGCTGCTCAGTTTAATTCAGTCAGGTTTTATTAGTTCAAGCGTAAAATATCATTAAATGGGGTAAAGGTAAAGCAGTGAATTTTATTTCGGTTAATTCATTTTCTCAGCATTTAAGTTCAGTTAGTTTTGAGCAATGAGTCAGATTTAAAGAGGTAATTTGGTTAAAAGAACAGTCGAGTTTCTCTAAATTAATGAAACAAGAGAGATCTAAGGAACCAGTTAGTTTAATTCAGTTAGGCTTAGCTTGTCAATTGGCTTCGTTTCAACCACTGAGGTCTAAGGCAGTGGTTTGCATTTTTTCTTCAATGGAATATTTTTTATTTAGATATTCTTGGGCGTTTGTCATATTTTCTTATATTATTTCTTATATTTATCCTGATTCCTCAGGAATTAAAAAAGAAACTAAAGTCTGAAAAACACTAGAATTTAACCTAAAAAAACCGCGAATTCTCCTCCTCTTAGATTTAGTTTTTAGTTTAGTTAAAGTTAAATTACTCTCTCTCTGTTGTCAATTAGGGAGTTGTTCCATGTCATATATTAATAATATTTTAATCTTTTATGTAGCACCTGTATTCAGACTATATATAAAATTAAGATATAGTTTTGGAAATAAAAAATCAAAATAAATACTTAAACCCGTTCAGCAAGTTTAGAAATTAAAAGTGCGGATATTGAACTATACTCGCGTTTGATTATTAATAAATTTTAGGCTAGGTCCTTGTTGAGAAATTTTTTTTGGTAAAGAGAGAAAAAGAAATAACCAGTTAGGAGAAAAAAAGGAACAGAAAGCAAGCCAAAAACCAGCGGATACTGTGAAATAAATCCTCACGAAAGATGAATCAGAACAAAAATAAATACTAAAAAAATAAAACAAAAAAAGTAGACCAAGAAAGAACCGCCTTCTTGCTGATAAAAGAGAAAAGGAACTAGTAAGCAAAAATTAACTAAGCCAAAACCTATCCCATTAAGGAGCAAAAAGGAGAAACTAGCAACTACTCCCAGATTAGTAGCCGCTAAAAAATAAATAACTAGTGATAAGGAAAGAATAAGATTAATCGCCATAAAGTAAGTAAAAGCGGCAGCCAACTTAGCTGATATGACTGTTTCGCGGTCAACATCAGGAGTGAAAATGAGAACTTTCCTATCCTTTTCTCGGCTAATTTTAGGCATGCGAAAAAATTGTCCTTTTTTTAATTCTTCTCAACCCAAACCCCTCCCAACTAGATGAGAAATGAGTGGCGAAATCATTGCCATCAAAATAAATAACTGCATAAACGAAATGAGCCAAAAAACAGCTAATTTCTCTTGCCAACTATTAACATTTAATAACTCCTTCCCAGACTTTAAATTACCCATCATAACCATAATGAATAGGAAGTAGCAAAAATAAAAAACGCTTGCTCAAATTCTTTTTAATAACTTGGTACAATAATAACGGTGAAGTTTAGCAAATACAGGATTTTTGAAGTTAAACATAAATTAATACTAGCCTAAATCTTCCTCTTGATAATAAGAATAATAGAGAAATAAAAATAAACCACCTAATACCACTGCTAAACCAATATTTACGAAGGGATGACTATATCAATATTCGGCTTTGGCAAGAACAGAGTAAAAACCTCCTCCTTCCTTTTTCCTTGACGTTAATGCCGCAACACAAACAAAATATCAAATCAGGGAAAAGTAAGATAAGAAATAATAAATAATTGAACCAAATATTCCTAAGTTACTAGCAAAAAGATAAAGGCTGACGGGGAAAAGGAAAAATAAAATTGAGCCGATAACAGTAGCATAAAAGAGTAATAAAAAGAAAGCACCCCATGGAACAGCTGTCACTCCTCAGGCTATTGATAAAAAAACCCCATAAGGTATCGAGAAACCCAATAAAGTGAAAATCGCTAAGTCCGTAATATAGACCAATGATTTGCTAATAAATAACTCACTTCTTTTCACAGAGGGAGCAAAATTTAAAACAGTTGCATCCTCACCATTTTTTTTAGCTTGAATAAATAAATTATTAAGTAGCGAATAAACTAAAAATATTCCTGCTATAACGCCTCCCATATTTCATAAAGTAATATTATTCATTACTTGCCAATATTCCACGCAACTTAAATTGTTTCGTCGAGCAGAAAAAAGGACAAGGTCATAATGAAGAGGAGTAATTTTGCCTGCTTCGTGTTTTAATTTTTCCTTTTCTTCTTTAGTTAATTTTTCACCCTTTTTTTCTCCCCCCTCTTCTTTCTCCTTGGCGAGATTATACCTTATGCCACTACTGGTAAGATTATAAAGGGATTTTCTTTTGGCATCATCGGTCAAGTTGGCCTGTTCTTCTCATCATTTAGCGGATTCCTCATCACCTATCAAAGCACCTTGATAAGATTTATTAATCGTCCCTTTAAAAGTATACTCGTTATTCAAAATTTCATCATTTAAATTTAATAATTCCCTCTTTTGGTCTTCGGTATATTTTGTTTCTTGCTCTAGTTGTCTCCTAAAACTTTGTTTTGTTATTGGAACAACAGCAAAAGGTCAAGCTATTCATCAAACTCAACACAGAGCAACTGCCACTCATACCTTTCAACTTCGTCAGAGACTTTTTTTTAAGTAATATTTATATAATTTTCCAACTTGCGACATAATTTAATTTATAATTTTATAATTCAAACATTTTTTTACCCCTTTCAATAAAGTAATCTTCATAAGTTTTTTCAATATCCGCCGTTTTAGTTCCAGTATAAACAATTTTTCCTCCTTTAATCATAGTAATATCATCAGCTAATTTTTGTAAATCAGAAAGAATGTGGGTTGACATCAAAATCGTTCCCCCTTTGTCGCGAATACTTTTTAAATTGTTGAACAAATCCTGACGAAAACTGGGGTCTAAGCCATTAAAGGGCTCATCCAACAAGTATATTTTTGGTCGGTAAAGACTCAAAGTGAAAACTTGGAGGATTTTTTTTCAACCGGTCGAAAGGGAATGACAATTTTGGTGGCGAAATTGGGATAAGGGCGAACTAGCCAACTTTCTTAAAACTTCTCCTTTGGGAATATCTCGCAAATAACCGCAATCAAGCAGATAATTTTCTACCGTCAGACTAGGAAACCGCGGCTCAGCGGGAATAAAACCTAATCGTCTATTAAAACTGGGGTCTCTACTAACTGATTTATTATCAATATAAGTTTCACCATGGGTTGGCAAAACCAAACGAGTTAAGATACTGAGAGTAGTAGTTTTTCCTGCCCCATTAGGACCAATAAAACCATGAATGGTTCCTTTACGAACGGAAAAGGAAATGTTATTTAAGACTGTTTTATTGTCATATCTTTTACTGACTTTTTTGACTTCGATTATTTTTTCTGCCATACTGACTTATTATTAATTTTAATTTATTTTATTAGTTTGTTATTGTTTGGTAAATGCCACCTTAGGACTTGTTGCTCAACAAAATACTATTAATATATCTTATTCGGAATGCCTTCTTCCACCGTATTTACTAAACCAGTTCTCAAAACAAAAAAAACGAGCAAAATAAAGTTACTCCTTCTTGTATTAGGAAGAATTATTAAAAATAATCCACTATTATTTTTTTTCTGTTCCTTGCTAGCAGTAATGACAGCCGTTATCAACTTTAATATCGCGGTTAACGGAAAAAATCTTCTGCTGAGCAAAGAAAAAACTCTGAGTGAACAAGTTATTAAGGAGGTAGAGAAGGAAGGGAGCAAAAAGAAAGAAGAAATCGAAAAAAAAAAAATAAGAGAAATATTAGTCAAAAAGGTCGATGAAAAGGATAAAAAACAAAAAGAAGTCAAAGAAAATATTGAAAAAGCAATAAAAGGGGGTGGTTCTTTAAAAAAAAAAGAGGCCAAAAAGATAATTGAAGATGCAAGCATAGTCGGACGTGAAGATGTCAGGGAGAAGCAAGATTTTGAATTTGAGTTTAACTTTTTTGGTCTACGCTGATTTAAGACTGATAACTTAACCATTTGGGGATTTATTTCTTACTCGCTAACTCTCATTTTCTTAGTAAAAGCTTTCTTTTCTATTCTACATTATTATTTAATGTCTTACGCTTATGACAGTGTAGAACGGGATTTGAAAAAAGATCTATTTCGCCATTTTATTCGGGCTAAATATGCTAATTCTTCGGAAGTTTCTCGCAATTTAATTACCCAATTTGCTGATGATTTAGATGAAATCGCTTATAGTATCTGATTTATTCCCAATCGGCTAATTTATGTAGCGGTTTCGCTATTTTGTTTGCTCCGGTTTGATTTTAATTTTGGTGGAGAAGGTACCACCTGACCGCTGATAATGATTGTGCTTGGCTTGTTTACAGTTTTAATTATCGGAGAGGTTTTATTATTCAAAAGAGCCAGCAAATTGCATTTGGCTGCCAAAAAAAGACAGGAAGAAGATAATAAAGTCATTTACGAACGAATTAATAATTTAGAGTATATTAAGGTGATTTCTGGAGAAAAGTATGAAGAAGAAATGATTGACCGACAACTAGACTCCACTTTCCGCCAGAACAAAAAATCTCTCTGGTATAGTGCGTTGTTTAAGGCTGTTCCGCAATATCTTATCATTCCCAACATTCCAATTTTTTTTATGGCCTTGACCCTGCTTTTTTATTCCGAAAGTAGTAAGATGGGAACAGTATTTCTAATCGGTAACTTTGTTCGCTACTTTTTTTCGGTAAAAAGTTTAAATAATGAGGTAAATAAAATAATTGAGGCCTTATTAACCCTGGATGAACTTTCTGGCAGCCTAGCCATTGTTAATGAGAGTGCCAAAACCTTAAATTACCAAACTGCTCGGGCCATAGCGACTTCTCCCGTGGCAAATCTTCCGTTTCAAAACGGCGACATTATTTTTCAAAAGGTGGTTTTTGCTTATCCCAAACGTCCTCAACAAGATATTTTACGTAACTTTTCTTTCACTTTCCAACAAGGTAAAAGTTATGGTATTGCTGGGAAAAATGGTATTGGTAAAAGCACTATTACCAAAACTACTCTCAAACTTTATGACTTAAAAGCCGGGCAAATTTTCATTGGCGAACATAATATTCAAGAAATAGACACTATTAGTCTCCACCGCCATATTTGCTACCAAACTAATCGTCCCACCTTTTTCCACCTGAGTATTGCTGAGAATGTTTATTATCCTAATGAGTATCAGAAAAAAGACCACAATAAATTAATTCAAACGGCCAAAAAAACCGGTATTTATGAGTTCATTACTAAACTGCCGCAGGGATTTGATACGGTATTAAGAGAAGGAGGCAGCGACCTTTCCGAAGGACAAAAACAACAAATTTCGGCCATGAAAATTTTTATCAATGACTATGATATTTACATCTTGGATGAAATATTAAGCAATGTTCATCCGGACTTGAAAGGAATTATTTTAGGTAACATTTTTGCCAAATTAAAAGGTAAAACAGTGCTAGTAATTGACCATCACTACGAAATATTTCAATATGTTGATTACGTTTATCAATTCACTGGTGAAAGACTGATTAAAATGGATAAAAAGGAGTTTTTAGAAAATAATTAGAGCAGAAAAAATTTGAGCCTTAGGAGACAAAAATGTAAAATAAAAAATATAACAAAATAATTTTTAATATTATTATGTCAGAAAATCAAAAAATAATACTCGCTAGTCAAATTAAAGAAGATTTACAAAAAGATTTAGCGAAAGCGAAAAAGGAGGAAAAGAGCAAAAACAGATTTGGAGGATGTAGTTGGCTAAAAACATTGGGCGAAGATTGTGGTAGTTATAGAGGGAATGAGTGGCGATTAAATTATTATGGTTCTGATGTAGATAAATATAAAGAAAAGCAACATCCCGGAGCAAGAGAAGGTATCTATGTTTTTCCTGAGGAATTAGAACCTAATGATTGGAAAGAAATTGAAAGTTTAATTCAGCAAATAAAAGAGTTAGAAAAGAAAAAGGAAGAGAAAGAAACCAAAAAAGACCAAGAGGAACAAGCCAAAATCGACCAAAAGTTAAACCGTAATCCTAAACTGTTTTTTTATGAGGGAGTGTGAGAATGAGCGGTTGATTATGACCCTCGCGGTTATGATAAGTTTCATGTTTTTTCGGGAAGCGAAAACGGTCAAAAGTTTCATTTAACTTTTCGTGAAAACCACCCAGCAGTAGTAAATTTTTCTTATAACCACAACGAAAAAATATTTTTTCAAATTGAGGGGGTTGAAAATATACCATTCCAACCCGAAGGGAAAAATAATAAAGGATTACCTTGAAAAGAAGTCAATTTGAACGAAAAAATTACTATTGCTGAGGGGGTCGACAATAAAGAAAATACTGAAAAAGACAAGCCAGTTGAAAATAAACCAACCGATAATTCTCCTAACTCTCCACCAAAAGAATTAAACAACAAAACCCTACTTCAATACTTCCAAAAGAAAAATATTAAATCAATCAAATTAGAAGGCGAAATACTAATAATTGAACACAATGACAATTGAACTTCTGCTAAACCCCTAATCGGTTTTCCTGAATTAAAAGGAATAGACCAATATTTAGAAAATAAGAATGACAAAACAGTCAGTCGTCGAGAATTAGAGTTAAGAAATAATTCTGATGCTGCCTCCTCAACAGTTAAACCCCAAGATAATAACAGTGCTCTATGAATAAGTTGCGGAATAGGTGGAATATTAATAATTACAGTAATTTTTGGGTTATTGTTAAAAAGGAAGAACCAAATTAAAAAACAAAACACTAATTATTTCCCATAACTAAACATGACAATTAAAACAACTACTAAAAGAACGGCCGAAGAAATAACAGCATAGAAAATATAAAGCAGGGAAATATTTTTGCATCCTCCTTGGTTTATTGTGGATATGTCGTGACCTTTCATAATTTTTTTCTTAATTTAATTATACTAACAAATTAATTTTTTGGGTGAAGAAAAATTACTTAATATTTCCTGAATAACAGCCTTTTTCATTTGTAGTGAATAAGTCTCGCCATTACGTAATAATTCCACCAGCATATCAAGTATTTTGAGAGAATGAGGGGTTATTTGAAATTCATCAAAAATTATCCCTTCGCCAGTGCTTCACAAAAGATAAACATTCTTACCAGTGCATAAGTATTGAATAAGTAATTGGACCTCAAAAACGAGTAGAGCCAGCGGGCTCTTGTTGGCCTTAATATTACTAGTTTTTAACTCAACAATATAATCATGAAATTCCAAATCGACATAAGTGGCTAATAATTCGTCTTTGTAAAAAACGTAATGAAGTTTTTCACTGCCAAGAAAACGACCAAGTTTTAATGATTTATCCTTTTTCAAAAAATTAACTGTTTCATGAATCCTCTTATCTAGATTATTTAACTTATTACTCTCTATTAAATCAACAAAAGGAGGATGATTGCCGCTTTTTACGAACTCTTGAATAATGTCATGAAAGTTTTTTCCTCGCTCGGCGGCTTTGAGAAGGATATACTCTGGTATGTCTTTATACTCTATCTCACGTAAAGCTTTTGTGAGAGTACTAGCACTTAACGCTTTTTTTCCACCATAATAAGGCCATAATTTACCAGTTTTTTCTACTAATAAGAACTCAACTTCTGGTCGAAAAACTGAGTTATTAACAATTTCGTCCAAATTTTTAGTAATTTCTTTATCATTTGTACTTAATTCTTTATTCATAGTAATTTAAAAAAGAGAAAGAGAAAAATTAAAAAGCATATAAGTTATTTTATGAGTGAAAATAAAAGCTGGTTTAGTAAAGTGTTAAAACAATACATATAGTTGATAATTCTTAAATAAGAAAATTAATTATACAAATTAAAAACTAAATAAAATTAATATGACAAAAAAAACATTACAGGGCTGATACAACAGCAATGACATAAATTATAGTCAAAAAGAAATAATAAGTAAATTTGGGGTGAGTGATTATTATCCTGAATCCGAACTATGGAATTTTAAAAAGTTATGATATTGAAATAATATATTAGAAAGAAACAGTTACACACTAGGGAAAAAATTCGATGTTAATAATGAAGCAGTTTATCAAATGAACTTTTTCTCGACTTGATGAAATAACAATTTGATATTAGTTATTGATGGCAAAGAAAATAATTATTGAATAAAATTGATTGTTTATGAAATGCCTTATAAGAAAATGGAGGAGATTTTTGAAGTATTCTCGATTGACTGAATTTGCCCCGGAAGTTTATACGAGGCCAAAGAAAAAGTAACAAGAGCAAAAGAAAAACTGAGAAGTGATAAACCTGTTCTTTGCAAAATATCTAAATTAAAAGTCAATTATCACGATGATCATAATAGTTTTTTATTCCCTGTTTATTACGGGTTAATTTTGGGGAGCGAAGATGTAAAAAGAATTGAAGTAGATTTTAATAAAGCAAGATACGGCAACCCCGATGATTATTTTAAACCATTGGATATTGCTATGATATGTAGAGGGAAAATGGTTCATACTTGCATATATCTAGGAAGTGGAAAAATTTGTCATGCTCTCGACGGAAATCAAATTAGAATGGGGGACTGAAACAGTTTTTTTATTCTTGCGGGAGCAAATAAAATGCTTCGTTATCATCCAGTTATTGCTTTCAAAAAAACTGATGAAATAATTAAACATATTGCTAATTGTGCTGAGGGACAAGAGACATATTATTCAGAAGAAAAAAAAAGAAAATTTGATATCGATGACAATAATTGTGAAAATTTTACTAACAGATGCGTGCTTGGTAATAAATACGGAACTACTAGAACAACGGAACTAAACATTGAGGAACAATTAAATAATACCAAAAGTGATTTAGATGAAGTAGGTCGTAACCTCCATTGAAGTAAAGTAAACGACAGAGACAACAGAATAAACGAAATAAAAGAATGTAGACGAGGCAGTGGTTACGAAATTCCTAGTGCCATGAGAGACGGAATAAATATGTATGATGCTTGTATTGAAGTCCAGCCTCCAAAATACATATTTAGAGAAATTTATAGTAGAAGAAATAATTAAAAAACTATGACAAGAAAACAAGAATTATTGTTAAAAGAAATTGAGGAATTGCGGGAGGATTATTTTCGGAAACTTAGTGAAAAAAGAATAAAAATAAGTAATATTTATGAAAAAGAAAAGATTGAAATTGAAAGGTGAAAAAAATTAAAAGAGGGAGGAAAAGAAGAAAAAATTATTTCCCCCATTGAAAGGATTAGGGAATTGGTGGAAAAGATAAAAGAAGAAGGAGCGAAATTTGATAAAGAAATAAAGGACAAAATGTTAAGTGATTTGTCGAGTTGAGCATTAGACCCACAAGGCTTTTTTTACAGAGTAGATAGAAGATTAAAAAATATAAATGTAAATATGGGGACTATTGGTGAACATACTTATGACAAGATGAGTTTTGGAAATCATCCCAAAAGTAAATATAGAAATGAAATTGTAAACGCATTTATTGAGGAAATTAAACAAAATCCCCAAGACTGGAAAATTATTAAAGGGGTAGAACCCATAATTAACGGCGTTCCTTTTAATTACGGAACAGATTATTCGGCAGTAGAACACAAATCAGGGAGAAGACATTACAAACCAGATTTTATCCAGATTGCTAGTTTTTCTGATGAGGAATGGACTGAAATTGAAAATGCTTTAAATCATAACAAAGAACTTGACAAAGAGAACACAAATCGGAAGAAAGTGCTAGAAGATAATAATTACAACGACTTAACCCAAGAAGAACTAAATAAAGAAATCAAAGAATTAAACTCAGAAATAGAAGAGTTAAAAACCAATCAAAATATAAGTATTTCTGAACGACAAACAAAATTACAAAAAAAACAAGAAAAATTAGAGAAACTAGAAAAAATTAGATCCAACTCTACCCAAAAAACAAAATCAGGTAATAATTTTCCAACTGGTTGAATGGTTGGTGGTGGAATATTAGCATTGGTAGTATTAGTAATAGCATTATCAATAAGAAATCGCAGAAAGAAAAAAACTAACTAAAAAAACTTTCTATTTTTTGATAATTTTCTTGACAAGAAGAAATAGTTGATAGTAAATTATACCCCTTTTTTATTTTTAAGAAAAACCTTTGGAGATTATTAGCCATAAAATAAACGCCCCAGTTTAAACTTCCTTTCCCTCCGCAATAAAAATGATAATAAAGAAACAAAAAGAGAATACTAATGCCCGAAATTATTAGTTCTGGTATTTGGTAAATAGCGGACAGGAAATCAATGCTGGTTATTTGCTGTAGTTATTGTCTAATAATTTAGGTAGATTTTTTGAACCTCTCGGTTTGTCATCAAATTGTAGACTTTCTAACCAGGTTTTTATTTGGGATTTTTCCAACACCCAATAACTACTTTTTTTAGCCAGATTAGCCTGACGAGATGAGTTAAAGGAATAGTGAAAAAAAGTTAATCAAGCTAAATTGACTAAGACAAAAATAACAAGCAAGGGAATCAGTTGAGACAAATGATAGAAATTAACAAGGAAATAGAGGCTAAGCATCACAAAAGAGATATCAACAAATATTCCAAATAAATCAACCGGAATACTAATAAATTGACGAGAAAATTCGGGCACAACACTGTTAATTATATACACTTTTTCATCGGTCTTTTTTAACATCAAATCTTTGTTTTTAGCAGCATAATTTAACAATTTTTTTGTCAAGTAGACTTTCACTTCCCTTTCATAATTTTTCTGTCAATAATTAAGAAATAATTGCATAATTATCTTCAGCGGAAAATAAAGAAAAAAAAGAATAAGCGACAGTTTGTTCCAATCTACATGTATCTTGTCGCCCTCCATTTTTTCAATGACGGAATACTTACCAAAAAGATAAAAAAAGTAGCCTCGTCCTCGGTCTTTGGATAAATTATTGACAAAATTAAAACGAATAAGAAAAGTTATATAACTTATTAAAAAAGTGAGGAGAAAAAGAAGTAATATTTTTCATTTAAACTTTTTGAAAAGAGATTTTAGTAATTTTCTCTGCGACACGATAAATTATTTTTTCTCTTCCAATATGCTTTTGTAGTTGACAAGAAAGGGGGCAATAATTCAATTAGAGAACTCATGTTAGGGAGTAAAAATGCACCCCCTTTTCTTTCTTGTCTTATTTTTTCCTGCCTAACTGGAACACTAATGGGAGAACACACAAAAGTAATGGAAGGAATAGAAAGAAAATTACTAACCCCGCCATCCTTCCATTTTCCCGAGTGTTTTTTATCTTAAACTCTTTAAAAATCCAGTCATGTAAGAAAGAAGCCACCAAAAAGTAGACAAAAAAAGTCAAGAACAGTCCCAACACTACTGGAAATCGCGGCCATTTATCTGAACCACGAAAAACACAAATAGTGCAAAAAAATGCAAAAATTAAACTAAATATTAATCACTTTTTAAAACTCACATCCTAAATACTATGGATTACATACTTCGCAATTTGGGTCATAACTTTTACTTACCCCAATATTGCCATAACCATCTACTTCAAACTTATAATTATCAATCACTCCTTCCTCACCTTCATAAGTCTTCATAAACTCCTCAAAGGATGGTGTTTCGTTTTTATTTAATTTTGTCTGTTTTTCAGGCATTATCAACTCTTTTTCCGCTAAATATCTAACTTCTTCTACTTGTGCCTTATTTTCTATTAAATTTCTTATGTTTTTATAGTTTTTTGCTAATTTAAGACAGTTTAGCCTCTGGTTTTTAAAAGTTTATTTTGGCTTTTAATCAAATCTTTCTATCCTCTCACGCCAAAAATGGCATTATATTGTCCGCTTTTCAAGTTGTCGTGATTATTGTTTTGAGCAAGTTGATGCGTTGAGCTGTCATGATTTCATTGCATATAGTTTTTATTATATTATTATATTTTAGATAATACTTTGGCTTCCCGGGCGTGAATATTTACTAAAAACTTTGTATTCCCCTAAGCTAAGTTATCTTTTTTTTCGAGGTTTGACTTTTTCTTTCTCTTTTTTATTGTGTAGTTTTTGAACAAATCTCTTTTCCCGAATAACATGAATGGTCACCTCACCCGGAATGACAATATCTTTCTTAATTTTTTCTCTAATTTTCCGGGCAACTTCTCAGGTTTTATGGTCGTTTAGTTTTTCCGAATCAGCAAATACCCAGATTTCTCGCCCAGCTTGAAAAGCATAACTTTTTTTAATACCGGGAAACTCATTAGCAATATTTTCTAAATCATTCATCCGTTCCACATAAGATTCTGACTGCTGACCGCGAGCACCAGGACGAGCTGCCGATAACCTATCAGCCGCCAAAATAATTAAAGAATAAAGATTATTGGGCGGGAAATCTCGATGATGAGAAGCAATGGCATTAATAACTACTTCGGGTTCTTGATGCTTTTTAGCTAAATTGATGCCACTCAAAACATGGGAGTAATTTCCATTGTCCTCCACTGCTTTACCAATATCATGAAATAGACCAGCTCGCCGTGCCAAGAAAACATCCAAGCCCAACTCGGCCGCAATACTTCCTGCTAATTTGGCCACCTCTAAACAATGTCCCAACACATTTTGTCCATAACTAGTGCGATACTTTAATTTTCCTAAATGTTTAACCAATTCGGGATGAACATTATTTAATTCTAGTTCTTGCAAAACCTCCATCCCGGTCTTAACAATAAGTTCATCAATTTCTGAACTTACTTTTTGATAAGTCTTTTCAATTTGGAGAGGGGAAAATCTGGCTTCTTTAATCAAAGTGCGGAGAGTTTGTAAACCTATCGCTCGGCGCAAAGAGTTAAAAGAAGAAATTTGAACGCTTTGTTCATCACTTTCACGGTCAATAATTAGTTCAGTGCCAGTAACTCGCTGAAAAGCATTAATATTTCGTCCTTCTCTCCCAATTATTTTACTAATTATTTGTGGACTTTCCACCAACAAAGTATCAGTTGTTTTGGTAAGCACTAGTTCCGAACTACATTTTTCTAAGGCTAGACAAATTAAATTACTACTTTTTTCTTTTACTTCTTTTTCTACCCAACTAACTTTTTCTTCTTTATACCTTTCTAATTCTCTATCAACCTCTTCTTTTAGCAAAGCAAAGAGACTTTTTTTCGCTTCTTCTTTGCTCATTGGAATTATTTTTCCTAACTCATTCATTACCTGCTTTTTTATTTGATCAATTTTTTCCATCTCCTCCCGAACATCCCTTTCCTTTTTTGAACTTACTGCCAGTTGTTGGGTAAATAATTCCTCCTTGCGGAATAATTGATTAGCGAACTCACTTGTTCTCTTTTCCTCTTGCTGTAGTTTTTTCTCCTTCAATTCAATTTTTTCTCGCTCAATAATTAATCGCCTATTAGTTTTCTCTAAGTTTTTCTCTCCAATTTTTAATTTATTTTCTCTCCTTTTTTGGTCATGAAGCAATTTTTTTAACTCTAACCTACCTCAATGCACTCTCTTGATATAAGTAAAAAATACTAAAAATAATATAATAAGGAAGAAAGCCAGGAAAAGAAATAAATATCCATAACCTTCCCTTAGTCATTTAGAAAAATCCATATGAAAAAACAAGAATTAAAAAAATTATTAAGTAAAAAAAATAAACCGCTAGTCGGAAATAATCGTTCTTTTTCGATGCGAGCTACCCGAAGGAGTTTTGCCACTAATCGGCAAAAGTTTCGAATTGGGACTAGTACCTACTACATCCCAACTAAATTATTCCGCACCTATTGAACAAAATTAAAAAATTAAAGAGAAGACTTTACTTTTAGGTGGGCAGTACTCGGAACTTTTAACTTTTCCAAGGATTCTAAATCAGTGGAGGAAACGCTCTCAATATAAATTACCCGCTGATGAATTAGTTGAACAAATTGTTCTTGAGAACTTTTGTGTTTGTGGGGAGAAATCGGAACAGTAATAACCTTTCTTTTGGTTGGTAGAGGAACCAGACCAGCAAAATTTAATTTGAGTTGAGAAAGTTTTTCACCAACTATTTTGGTAGCTTCTTCGGTAGTTGCTACATCATAGCCATAAACAGTAATTTTTATTTGATTATTTTTTTTTGTCATTATACAAATCTAAATTGAGATATATTAATTATTTTAGTCCTGATAAAGGTTGATGGGCTAATTATCGTTGACATATAGCCGAAACAAGCGAAAAATTAGGGTTAAAGTCTGACAATTGAAAGAAGTCTTTTTTTCGTTCCGGTTGACAAAATAAAGCGCTAGAAGTAGATAGTGTTGATAAAGCTAAAAAATGCCTGCAAGGTTTACAAGCCGGCATTTATCACTGCCTATGGAGGTCGATTTCGCGGGGCTAGTTATGACAAAAATGCTGAGCAGATAGTTAAGCAGGCTAAAAGAACATTGAAGGAGACAATTAAAAAACATGGTAAAGGGGAAAATATAAACATTAAGGAAACTGCTATAGTTCCGCCTTCTTATTACCCCGATGGGGAATAATTGTTGGCATTAGTGGAGTTGTAATTTTTTTTTATTGTTATAATCTTATGCTTATTATTAATATTTCGCAAAAAAAAAAAAAAAAGTAAAATTATAATGTATTATAAATCATTCTATGGAAAATAATTATGTTAAACAACAAAAAAAGAAAATTAATCTATCTTTTCGAACATCCCATAACGTGCCAGCCGGCACGACAAAGTCGCGTGAATAAGGTTAACCACCAAAAATAAATAAAATTTAAAAATTAGTTAAAAACAATTATAAAATAATATGACAAATAACGAAAATCTAAAACCAATAATTGAAAATAAAAAAACCTTTTGAAACAGTATATGAATTAAAAAATGAAACGCAGAGCGTTGTCGGAGACCAAATTCCCTCTTTTGAGAAGTTTATGGAAACTTATGAGGACGACGACAATCTTAATTACGATGATTTAAGTAGTGGCGGTATCGGTGAAGTGAAAGGTTATGGACCTTGCACTGATGGACGCAGTGAAGTTTATTGTTATTGTTCTCGTGAAGAAATAAGAATACAAATTATAAATAATACTTATTATGTTTTAAAAAGACCTACTCCTCCGGATAATCATCAAATCAGAGTAAATTTTTTTACTAAATACTCTGATGAACACTTTTTTTCTAACGGTGCTTTTTGACTTGACCTAGAAGGTGACGAGGTCGGCTGGGAAACAGCTAATTTTTTTAGGAGACCTTTTGGTGCTTCTAACATCTGTAAACATACACGAAAAGTTAACCTTAAAAATTTCGCACAATTGAAAAAGTTTAAAGAACTCTTAGAAATGGGTGCTATTCCTAGCTCCTCAAACGATTTACCACAAATAGTCATACTCGAAGAGAAAACTTGCACTTTCAACCTTTTAAGAAATAAGACACAAAGATTTGCTGACAAAGCAAAAGAACTTATAAAAAAATGCGAACAATGGCAAAATATTGATGGTGATTTTAAGTTTTAATAAGTTATAAATACACAATTGAAAAAAAAATTTAAATTATCCAAATGAGTATGATTTTTATTAATTTTTTTTACTCTTTCTGTTATTCTTTTAATTAGTTGAGAAATAAGAGAACAAAAGAGAAAAAAGCAGAAAGAAAACTATCTAAAAGATGTAGAAAAAAAGAAAAACAAATTCTGCTCTCATCGTCGTCACCAAATCGGAGAAATCGATTATTATTACCCTTTTGATGGGTGAGAGTGTGAATATTGTGGTAAAGTAATGGACGGAAAGTGAATTCCTAAAGGTCAACCTTTTTGACCAACGCTTATACCTTTGACTGAAAAACACCTGAAAGAATGCGAAAAAGCACAAAAAATCACTAATGTTATTGACGAAAAGAAAGATGGTAATACGAATTATGATAACAAAACAACTTTAGAGGAAAAAGGTTATTATGGAAGTGAAGTTAAAAATTGAGGATTGATAAATAGGGTTAATTTACCCAATTTAAAAGAAAAAAAACGGATAGGCGTAACAAAGGTTCTAAGCATGAAATTACCTACTGAAAAAAGTGGGGAGATTTCTGGTCAAGAAAGTGACCTAATAGTCTTTTTAACTCCCCTTGCTACTACTATTACTCGCCAAAACTTTGCAGAGTTACTGAAAGAAAACAAAAAGCCAAATTTTTTTTATTCTTCTCATGCAAAAGAGGAATTAAAAATATACGAAAGATTGGTGGCAAGTTTTTTTATTTGGAGAAAATTAAAAAAGGGAGAAAGGTGGAATTATAACATTTTTGCTTTAGAAGTTGATAATAAAAGCAAGTTTTTTTCTTCCAAGTTTAGAAAAGGTATAGGAGAATCAGGAACATTATCTCTTTACCTCTCTCTTCTCAGCACCCACTACCAAAAACCTATTTCGCGGGAAGTAGCTGCTACTGGTTTTCTTAATTTAGGAAATTATTTCCGGTTCAATTATTGCCCCTGATGCTTCCAGGAGGAAATAAAAAGAAATCCAAAAGAAAATTTTTCCAAAAACAAAATTAGTCCAGTGAGTGGATTAGAGTACAAAATACCAGCCGCTGTCCAAGCCGGAGTTAAAAAACTAATTCTTGCCACTGAACAAAAAGCAGATTATGAAAAAAATGTCCCACAAGAAATTAGAGATAAATTAACCGTTTATTATGTGAAAAATGTGGAGGAATTAGAAAGATTATTTTGAGAAGGAGAATTTTCTTAACAATAAAGGAGAGTAATGGTAAATCGCAACACGATTATTTTTCACGACTAATATAAAAGCAAGTCCCTTGGTTATGAAAAAATAAGAGGAAGAATTTTTAACCTCCTCGATAATTGATTTTTAAAATTTAATTATTAGATTTGATTTTTTGTATATGAATGTCGAAGAAATAACCACAAATAATAATTTAGATGCCATGTTGTTCTTTTCACCAGAAAATCGCTTTTGGCTGACGGACTTTCAATCTAGTTTGGGATTTTTGTTTGTTACTAAGTTAGAAAAGTATCTTTTTGTGGACGGTCGTTATATTACCGATGCTCAAAAAAGTATAGAGGATAAAAAAATACAAGTTAATTTGTGGAAAAACTGGGCGGATATAAAAAAGTTCTTGCAGGAAAAAAATATTCAACGGCTCGGGTTTGAAAAAGAATATATAACGGTAGCTCAATTAGAAAAATGGCAAACAGAAATCTCCAAAGTTGATTGGGTGGGAGTAGAAACCAGCAAAGCAAGAATGGTGAAAAATGAAAAGGAAATAGCAAGAATAAGACAAGCAGCCGAAATTACCGACCAAGTTTATCAAAAAGTTTTAAAAACAATTAGACCTGGAATGAGTGAAAAAGATTTGGCTAAATTAATACTTGCTTCTTTTGAGGAAATAGGAGCTGAGGGGCTTTCTTTTGATACCATCGTTGTTTCTGGTAAAAACGGTGCTTTACCCCATGGTCAGCCTAGTAATAAAATTATCAATGAGGGCGAATTAATTACGGCCGATTTTGGTTGTAAATATCATGGATATTGTTCAGATTTTACTCGCACCTTCGCCATTAGTGGCAAAGAAGTTAATCCTAAATTAAAAGACATTTATCAAGTAGTCAAAGAGGCCCAATGGCAAGGTATTCAAGCAGTAAAAGCTGGTATTGAATGTAGTAAAATCGACCAAGTTGTTCGGGATTATATTCAGAAAAAAGGTTATGGCGAGTATTTTGCTCATTCCACTGGTCATGGTCTAGGTATTGAAGTTCACGAAGCTCCTTCTATCTCGGTAAGAGACGATACTGTATTGCAACCCGGTATGGTTATTACTATTGAACCCGGTATTTATATTCCCGAGTTAGGAGGAGTAAGGATTGAAGATGACGTTTTGGTTACAAAAAATGGCTATGAATTACTTACTAAATCGCCTCGCGAATTAATTTTTGTAGGATAGAAAAATTGCATTAATATGTCAAAGTGAGATAAGCACGATATTTGCCACAAAGGAATGGATATTATAATACGTGTTAACACAAGAAAGTCCTGATTTTATAAAGGTGGACAAGGTGATTGCTATGCGGGTAAGTAAGAAAGGACTAGACGAAAAAGTATTAAAACAAGCCGATTGCCGCCATTGTCAGCCTTGGAAATTTCCCAATGATAATGGCACGGATTGTAGCAAGGTAATCACAAATATTTTGGGAACAATGGAAAACTAGTGCGTAAATTTTCATAATAACAAAGATGCACCTGCTACTAAAACTTGCTTTGTTTGTGGGAAAGTTATTTCCAGCCAGGGAGACAGAGAAGAAAGAAAAATATTGTTCTTGTTCTCTTGCAATGTATAAAAAGGAATGGGTGTTAATCAAACCTCAGCAACAAAATCAACCGCCAAAAACCTAAAATAGTAATGAAGGAATGTCAACTGAAACCAAAATTATTTTAGGAATAGTCGTAATATTTCTCGTATTCACAACCGGCATAATAAGAACAAAAAAATGCAAAAGAAGCCGCCAAAAACATCATAATAATATATGACCATAAGCGAAACGAATAATAAGCAGTATAAATTAATAATTGGACGTCATGTCCCAGTTAAATCACCCCACTCCTTACCCGGAGCAGTTAAAGAAGCCTGGGGTTATGGAGCCAATGCACTAATGATTTACTTAGGAGCACCCCAAAATAGTCGCCGTCGACCCTTAGCAGAATTAAAAATTGACGGATTTAAAACAGTTTTGGATGAGAAAGGTATAGACATCAATAATGTGGTGGTTCATGGCCCTTATGTGGTGAATTTAGCTAATACCTCCAAAGTAGAAATTTTTCACTGATCCGTTGAGTTCCTGAAAAAGGAGGTTGCTCGAATGGAAGAGATAGGCCTAAAAACTTTCGTTCTTCACCCGGGCAGCGCAGTCAATACTCCGACCGAGGAGGCTCTAACCCAAGTAGTTAAAGGAATTAACCTGGTGCTGGAAAAAAGCTCCACCGTCCGGATTGCCTTGGAAACCATGTGCGGTCGCGGCAGTGAGGTAGGAATAAATTTTGAACAATTGAAATACATAATAGACCGAGTGGAACAAAAAGAGCGAATAGGCGTCTGCTGAGATACTTGCCATTTGTATAGTGCTGGTTATGATATCAAAAATAATTGCGATGCGGTAATTAAAGAATTTGACGAAAAGATTGGTTTGGAAAAGTTGTGAATTATTCATATTAACGACAGTTTGAATGAACGAGGAGCAAAAATTGATCGCCACGAAAATATCGGTTATGGCAAAATTGGCTTGGAAGCACTAAAAAAAATAGTTTGACATCCCAAATTTGATGGGAAAATTAAACTATTAGAAACGCCGCGGAAGAGAGAAGATTTCTCGGAAGAAATAAGAAAGTTAAAAAGGCAAAATTAATTTACTTTGGTAAGGATAACTGATAGAAACATAATATAGGCAGAAGCCCATTGAAAAATAGTTAAAATTTATGGTAAAAGCACAGGAATTTGTCGACGGGCATATAGGAAAATATAAGTAGATTTAATTTTGAGGGATGAAAACTTGGAAGGAGAATTGAACTTAACTCAGTTCGTTAATTTGGAGCAAATTGATCTTTCTAATAATCGAATTACTAAATTAACTTTGAGTAGCAAGCACACCAAATTGAAAAAGATAAACATTTCTAATAGCACTTATTTATTCACTAGTCAGTTTTGCGAAAAAGAAAGTAATTAAAGAGGATTAATAATTCTTTTTCTTCCCTTTCTATTCGTTGTATAACAGTGATTTTTATGGATAATGGAGATAAATATTAGAGTTACCAGATAGATATTACTATAAAATATTTTTATTATGAGCATCATTTTCGAAATTAAAGGTAAACAGTATCAATATCTCCCAACCAAAAAAGACCAAACTTTTCATATCGATTATCAAAAAAATACCAAGAGTGGTGATAAAATAACTTTTGACAAAGTTTTAAGTAAAGATGAAGAATTTGGCCAACCCTATTTGTCAAATATTAAATTAGCAGGGGAAGTAATCAAACATGGTCTGAAAAAAAAAATAGTGGGGATGAAATACAAACCAAAAAAAAAGAACTAAAAGAAAATGAGGATTTCGTCAACAATACACCGAAGTGAAAATAGTATCAGTGGAAGGCAATTAATTTTTCTTATGAACAAGAAAATTTATAACTTGTTACGAGAGAAAACAAAGTTAGAAAGGGAAAAAGATGAGATATTGCTTGAACTCTTACAAAGAGCTTTGGCAGAAACCGAGTGAACTTATAGCAAGAGATATAATTTATTAGAAAAATTAAAGAAACTGACTCGGGGCTTGGCAGTAGTTCAACAGCAATTAGAATTGGAGCTATCAAGTGTGTTATTGGAATAAATTTTTCAGTAATAATTTTTTTCTACAGGGAAAAATTAAAATAATATAATTATGGAAGGATTGCAACAAAAATCTAATGAGCTATTGCAAGAAGAAATTAGGAGAGCAATAAGGGAAAAATTAAACAGATTTACTTTTCCTTGCCCTCACTGTCGAGAACATATCAAAGACGAAGACTTTGGCAAAGAACAACAGGCTTTTCACTATATTAGTGAAATAGTAAGAAAAGTTTTGGAAGAGCAAATTACTCCTCAATGAGATAAATACCGCAGAACGCTGTTGGAGGAAATGAAAAATCTAAAAATTTACGAGGAATTTCCTGAGGTCATAGAATTAAAAGAAAGTATTAAAAAAAAAGAAGAAGAAATACGCCATCTTCAATCTCCCGACTATATAGAAAACTCAATACGAGTTAAGAAATTATACGAAGAAAAGAAAGAAATCGAAGGCAAGCATTGAAAAACGATAGAAAATTTACAAAATCAAAACCAGGAATTACAAAAAGAACTGACCGAAAAAAAAGAGCAAATTCAAAATCTAGTATTAAGGCAAAAAGGACAAGGTAAAGGTCAAGATTTCGAAAAATGATTTTACGAGGAATTATTGAAAGTTTTTGACGGTCAAGATAGAATTACAGACGTAAGCAAAGGTCAAACAGGAATGGGGAAAAGAGCAGATTTTCTTCAAGAAGTTTTAACCGCAACTGAACCAAAAAAAGTTGTCGGTCGGATTGTTTATGAA